AATACATACATGGTTGACCATTGAAGTACAACTTATAAATACATACAATGTTGACCATTGAAGTGCAACTTATAGATACATCCATGTTCATTATTGACCATTGAACTACAACTTATAAATACATACATGGTTGACCATTGAAGTACAACATATGAATACATACATGGTTGACCATTGAAGTACAACTTATAAATACATACATGATTGACCATTGAAGTACAACTTATAAATACATACATGGTTGACCATTGAACTACAACTTATAAATACATACATCGTTGACCATCGAAGTACATCTTATAAATACATACATGGTTGACCATTGAAGTACAACTTATAAATACATACATGGTTGACCATTGAAGTATAACTTATAAATACATACATGTACAACTTATTAATCCGTCTTTAAAATTAGATCGCGTTGTTAATTAGGTGGTTGACAGACACATTTGTATTCAAGTATCCAAATCAATCTTTTTGAGGCTAGAACCGCTTAGGATGAGAAGAAAATGAAAAGACATTGTCATGAGATCCCAAGTTAGCTTTAAAGTTTCCATAACGGTTGTTCAGACTGAGTTTACTATTTGTGACGAAATGTTTTAGCATTATGCACGATTATTACACATAAATACCATGAATGATTAAGCCTGTTACAAACAAGTGCCTTATTAGTTTAACGCTTTATACAAAACCAGGGATTAAATCTGTGTGCGTCGCGAATCCTGATCGTTTTGTTGTTGCTCGACAACAGTAGTTTTATGACATGTACATTGTATCGGTAATTTTCGGAAATTTCGAAAACCAAAACTCCCAACAAAGAATTAGTCTACACATCCCGTGGAGCGCGCCGGATTAAAGTATAGATGACTGGGACATATTCGACCTGATTTATCTCACATGTATTAACATTTATTTCCCTTGATAGCTTTTTAACCAGTCTCCTATACAGTGGCGGATCCAGAGACCTATCTGGGGGGGGTTCCAAATTTCCTGGGGGGGTTTCCATGTGGGGAAAAATTGAGGAAAATGGTGAAAATACATGATTTTTAAAGAAAATTCTCAGGGTGGGGGGTTTCCTGAAGCCCAAAAACCCCCTCTGGATCCGCCACTGCTATACATTTTAATGAAAGTTTGCACTGGTTCACTAAGATTTTAATAATACACTGTGTATTTCTGCCTTCTCGTTTCTTCCTTTCCTACTCCTTTCCAATAACCGTTGATCCCTGCGGAATTAAATTAATTAAATTAACACGTGTTATCAATTGATCAATTAAAACTACAGCCACACCAAATTAATAATAAATCATCAGGTCACATTGTACATAATTTGAGTTTTTGAACAGTGTGACTTTTATCGATTATTTGGTGGTGTATATTGATTGACCAACCGATTGATATTAATTTAAAGCACACTACAGACTGTGAATTAAGACTCGATAAACTATATATGTATGATATTATGCAAAACGTATACCTGTATAGAAAACATATACCTGTATAGGGTGGGCTATGGCAATACAGCCAACGCGGGGTGAGATACACTTGATAATCCCTAGTTAATACAATACGGGCGGCGAGGTACGACACAAGCACGGCATTATTATATCGACGGGTACCCATGAAGACATACGGTGACCAACCTACCACTGTTTACTCTGATTAAAAGACGCCTTAACAATGACGACAGTTTGACAGCACACGTATACGTACTTAAGTATATATATATACATGTAACGGTACGGGAGTGCGTGTATACCTGTTTGTATGAACCTACACAGCATGGGATATTACTGACTTGTCAGTCATGGTTTAACAGTGGACTACACTGTGACAGGGTACTACCATACCACTTTGCCCATTCCGTGTGCCAAAATTGGTTGTTCTCGGTTGGTGTATTAATTTTGTGTTTTCAAAATGGTGGATTCGATATTTGGATTTGTATGAACCTTTTCGCAATCATGGACAGTCGGACGTTAACTTTGCATGTCCTGTTTATTTGGCTGTGGCTACAGGTAAGTTTACGATTGTCCGAAGTATTAAAATCCTACATACTCCAATGTAAACGTCCTCGTCAACAGCCATGTTTTGATGGTTTTCCATGTATAGGATTACATGCGCCCCGATTTCAAGATACTATCATAAAATAAGTATTAAATTCTGAATATGATTCTCAAATATATTGACAGACGTGTTTCATCTCGGGAGTTAACTAGCTTTAGATCATACTCTATACTAGTACATGTCTATTGAATGGTTCAGGTGCAAACCTTTCATTCGATATAACTGTACATGTATGTCGTTACAATTTCTTACATATTGTACTGTAATTTAACAAGTAACATGCACGTTATACTAAGTAACACACACTTTATTACTATCTTTATTTCCTCCGAATGAAATTCATATTCTGTTTCATATTAAGAAAGACACAATAATGTTATAACGAATAATAAAATCAGAACAATGGATAAATGTTACAAAGACGTATTTAACTATTAACACTAGGTAAAGTATACGCATATATCATATTCTCCTTAACGGTTATATTAGCATGTAAAATTAAATTAAGAAGAGTGTCATGTATATGTTTGTTACATAGTGTTACTCTCAAATCAGCTATTGTAAATTCTTTTCATTTTATAGACATTTACTTCTGAAGCTATTCTTAAATCTTCATTATGATTTGGAAATGAACGTCCCATCAACAACTATGGTCATTTAAGAACGGCCTCCCCTGTGTGCAAGATGCATGCGTGTAGTGTATGCGTGTGTGTTTTGGGAGGCTGCGATATGTTCGTGTTTGTCTCCGTGTGATAGCGCGGAACTGATGCTGACTTTATAGTGCTACCTCACTGAATCATACTGCCGACGACACCAAGCAGGACTGAGGCATCGTCAAAAGAAGAAAGTTGTTTTGAAAGAAGAGAAAAGATAAGATCCCAAATTTAGTCGCCTCTAACGATCATGCAATGGGGGCAGCAGGTACAATTCTTACGCCCTACCTGCAGGGACTCTAACATATCTAACACTATGACTATAAACATGTAAATAACTCATTTCTCATCTTTGTCAGAACGTATACATCCGTATGGTAATCGTATATATTCAAATGAGTGGTTTTTTTTATGATAAAGTCTATTTTGGAATACAAAAACATGTGCTGCACAAGTTTAATAATCTGTTTCTCACGGTAGAGTTATCATGTAAACACTTCTCTTTCTCCATTTAACACCTATGCATGGTATATGTTATCGTGAGGAACAGAATGTCAAACTCGTTATTGTAAATGTTCGTAAACATTTAAATATTCTGCTATTCCTCTCAATCAAACCTTATACACTTGTCTTTCTCCACGAAACATTTAAACATTTTAAGTGTTATCGCGAGAAACAGAATATTGAAGTCGTGCAGCACATTTGTTTTATTGCTAAATAGGATTTGTCATCTAGATAAAATACTTATTCGAACATTTATGCGTCAAGCAGTTTATGAGTAAAAAAGATGTATGCTAGAACATTTTTGATGTGTGTTTTTAAAGTCAGGACTCAATTTTATTTTACAAAACAGTATGAAGTATGGCATTATAGGTACCTTGGGATCATTAATCTCTTCGAGGATTTCTTATAAAATAACCAAAATGTATTCATCTAATAAAGATTGATAATTATATATACAAGGCAAAGTTAGAACGTTACAAGTATCAGGGTTAGGTTACTTTTGCAGATATGTTCCCTGATGTCTGACCCTAAAAGTATGTTTCTCTCAATTAATTTAATATATATATACTTAACATCTACAAAATCAAATACATTGAAAAGGTAACGTATTAGTTGTTGATGATCTGCCGATGGCCCGGGGCTATTTAATGTCACTGCTGTATCATGTTGGCTGGGGGCTATCATCCGCGGATCCGGGACCATTCAAATTGATAGTCTACGTCTGAAAGCTTAATAATCTCAATCAGTATGGCACAGTCGATTGTACTATTCAAGATGTCAGGTCTCCATCTCCCCTAAACTTTGTTATACTACAAGGATACAATCTTGTATAATGGTACATGTAAATCTATAACGATGCTCGTAAATCTTCTATAATACGAAGAAATAGTAACAGCAGTCTAGATGAATCGCTATGTGTAACTTCTATTGATGTAGTTACATGCGACGCTTAATATACCTATATACATGTATATTTCAATTCATTCCTGTGTAGATTTTATGTCAAGAAACGAACCAGGCCTCGTGATAATTTACAGGTATTAATCTGGATATAACCCTTTGTTTCACGGTTATATTTTGATTATATCCAGGTACACGTTGACCTCAAAAAAGACTCAGTTGAATGAATTCTAATTATGTGACAAGTCTACCCTTTACCGTAACTAGTGTAATCGCCATACTTTGGTCAGGATTTTAAAGGAATACTAGATGACTGGTAACTGTAACGTCGTACAATTATAACTACATAGATATGTTGCTGCGATATGAGGGTGTTCTGTTTGTCCTTGGATCGCTCACCTTGACACAGATGCCGATACACCTGTATACATGTACCTGTGTGCGAGTTGTTCCGATAGGTGTACACATATCTTATCGTCGATGTTCTTTTTAAATTTAACATTCAATGGTACTACTCTCAAATCTACCATTAATAAAACATTTAGCGAGGTTAGCCAAACACAAGTTTAAAGGTTTCAGTTAACAACAGGGCCTAGGCCATCATTTCAACACCTAGCTACACGCGTACGTTAAACACGAAACGTAATGCCCATATTTATGTTGTCAAAAACATTAAGAAAACTGTACCATGCACAGTTTGATTTCAGTGCGATATCATTGAAAATTGATTAATAAAATTGATAAATATTTTTAAAGTGATGTGTTTTCAGCTGGTGTCTCTAGTACAAAGGAGGTCTTCTGCTTCTGCCAAGTAATGTCCACAATCATCACGTTGATTATAATGACATTTTTTTTTGGTTTGAGATATGTATAGGTTACAATTCAGGACCATACGTCAAGACAACGTCATACGATATCGTTGTCTATATCCAAGAAAACTTAAAGAGACATCACGGTGAAGTGTATATTTTTTTGTCTTATTTTTTCTTTTCAAATACTACATAAACATATCAAGTGAGTCTCCTTATGGAAACATTCATTAACGTGAATAATTAGGTTACATGATGCGGTAAGAAGTTGCAGTTGCCTGACGGCCGGTCAGACCACCCGTGTACTGCCTCGTTTCGAAACCTTTTAACATGGCTTTCCCGAACAATTCAAGTGGTCAAACTGGACATTTGGAACGGACTATGAATATGGGGATAGCAGGGTAACATAAGTGGAAGTGCATACAACACATACATTCATTAAAAAAAATAAGGCTCTCTTTACGTGATGTCCTTCTAAGTCTATAACCTATTCATCTTAAATCTATGATATCCTAACTGAATATAATATTATTAAGAACTATGTCTGAGTAGGACTAGGTAGGGAGAGGACGGAGGTTAGATAGAACAGTTTCGATATATAAGATGCGAGAGTATGTGTACCGGGAGAGTGGGTTTCAGATGTGTACACTGCACCAGTTATAATCGCGAAGAAGAGTTCAACATCAAGCTGGTTTCTCGGCTCGGAGTGTTCTTCCTTCTGTATAAAGATAAGCAGCAAAACACCTCCACCTTAAACAGGTGTGTACACAGGGCGTGTCTTCTAATCCTTCTCAATGTAATATCAAATTGCATTATAAGATTTATAGTGTGGTTATTTTCCAACAAAGCCCAGCTGTTTAAAGTCTACGCGTAATGAAGTTACTAAAATAGTGCTCAATATTGTAAGTACTCATTATACAATACTCTATAAATGATACTTTTCAGAATTCAAAAAAACACATCAACAAATAATCAAACAAGATATACACATAACTTATTCAGTTAGTATACCTTTACTTGTTATTTGGGTTTTAAACTTCAATACTTTTTAAAAAGCACAGGAACGAAGTTTTGTCTGGGTAAGCTTACCAATCTTTCAATAATTAGACTTACGAAGGGTTAGGTATTAAGAACGACTTGTTTCTATTCCGATGGCAATTCTAGATCTGACACGTGCACGTGACGGGATTACTGTAATGCCCACCGTTAACATTTACTGGTGTGATATCCATATCAATATTCCAGTAGATTAACAATATTTAACATATTTTAATTCTATCGATTCCATAACAAACATGTCTATAACTTGTATCAAGGTATAACTTGGCCTTCCCTGTTGATAATCTGCCCTAAATATAAAAATTAGTTTGGCAACTCAGTTTAACTATTTAACCACTGGCCTTGTAATACTTCATTAGGATTCCTAAAAGTAATGTTTAGGAGGTCTGACACCATACAACATATACAGAGTTCTTTTTATTTTAACTAAGAGTACCTTTAAACTACGTCTGGTAGCTATAGATAAATATAAAGATTGACGAAAGGGTTAATTGCACATTCCAGTGGAATTTCTACATAATGTTCCTATCGTTACAAAATGATAAAAGGGCGCGTTCTATTAGATATGGATGATTACCTATCGTTACATAACGAGGAAAAGTCGCGTTCGACTCGATAAGACTGGTTATATATTCATTTACATGTTGAATAATTCACGAGCTTGATTACAGATGTAGTTTTTAGGTCACAACAATGTTGAATACCGTAGATAATACACAACACAACAAACACATATTGACTCCTGTACGTTTAGAATTACATGTAAACAGTCCCAAATAAAGCAGTCTTCTGTCACAATCAGTTCACAATCACTCCCCTTGTGGTAATGTGTATATTCTGAGCTCCTGAACGTCGACGCCACCTCGATGTCCATTGAAGTAATGCCCATTCTGTAGCGTGTCCTCTATTGTTGTTCGAAAAATAATCCGAGATAACTAAAATCTCTTCGTTGAATTTTGTTAATGGTGTCGAGATAGTCAAGCCGTCCACTACGGGATCTCCTTGTTCAATTCTTTCTTATTTAGA